TGAGGAGGATATTTGGACCGAAGAGAGATGAAGTGACAGAAGGTTGGAGAAAACTGCATAATGAGGAGCTTCATAACTTGTACTCTTCTCCAAGTATAATTAGAATGATCAAGTCAAGGAGGATGAGATGGGCAGGTCATGTAGCACGAATGGGGGAGATGAGGAATGCGTATAGGATATTGGTGGGAAAGCCAGAAGGAAAGAGACCGCAGGGAAAACCAAGGCGTAAGTGGCTGGACAATATTAGAATGGGTCTTAGAGAGATAGGATGGAATGGTATGGATTGGACACATCTGGCTCAGGATAGGGACGATTGGAGGGCTCTTGTGAACACGGTAATGAATCTTCGGGTTCCATAAAATGATGGGAAATACTTGAGTAGCTGCAGATTTGACTACTCAAGAACGTCTCTGCTCCATAGGTAAGTAAGTATGCTGAGTGTTCACCGTTTGCATGGTAACGGCTTTCAACGCCGTAGGTTCCTCGTCTTTCGTGGTCACGGCTTCACATGCTCGCTGGCTGTGGTCGTTCTCACGACGGCCCCCGAGCNCATGAATGATTACACAATCACTGTTCATTCCCGTGTTTAATGTTAATAAGCCCCACCTTAAATCGTGAAATTGTATAAATTCAGAGATTATCGAAGTGGGAAATGTTCAGACTGCGGTTGTGATAATCTTAATATTACAGGGGATGTCAATATTTCTTAAGAATATTATACCTCCATCTTCAGTGTAGAAATGACTGTGGTGAAGATACAGTCAAGTTATTTAGGCAGGTTACAAGGGAAGACAGACTAGATCGCGGGAGGTGGAGAGAAGTGGGGTGTTGTCAGAATTTTATTAGATATAAAATTAAAGAATTCCGTTAGGGAACTTGCATATGAATGGAAAACATATTTTTAATTCATAATGGAATATCGAGGTCTGAAAGATGGGCGTGAAAGAACAGGGAATTGTGGAAAATGAAGACTGCAAACCCATGAAGGGATAACACGAAGAAGAAGAAGAGGTATATATATATATATGGCTAGTATTAAAGTAATAGCGTGGACTCGGGGTAGGAAATTTATATATTAAGCAATGTACATCGACATGGCGAATCAGGACAGATCATAAAAGGAATAAATTTTGCAAGAATAAGTGGTATTATCAATATAAAGGTAATCTATGTACATTTCTATGTAAAGAAACTGGATCCAGTGATAGGTGATTAAAATGCGAATATGAAAATATTCTCTTTTATGGGGCACTGGATTGCATGAACAAACCTTTCTCAAGAAGTACGCATGCGTAGAGATTACGTACTAGAATGTTCAGATAACACGACATTTGAGGACACGCAGAAATGAATCAGTGCAGTGACGCAAGGGCAAGTGCTGCTAAATGGGACAGAACGGGACACGGCAACAGTAGAACAGGTAAGCTTAACAGGAACGTTACTAATAAAATAGAAACAAATAAACAAATGAATAAACAAATATACATAAATAAATGAGACCGGAAATTCATGTGTAATTGGAAAAATTCTGATATAAATAAATGTTGACACAAATTTACAAACAAAAATGAGAAGTGAAGCATACTGCATTCTGGGATAAAAGGTTGCATGGGCAGAGCTCCATCGAAGTTTCGGAAGAACTTACTGCCTTCATCTTCAGGGTCGAAGAGTAAGCGAAGCAAGAAATGAAGAAGAAGCAGGAGCACTCGGAGCTCTGCTTGGCATTCACTGCGACCCTGAAGATGACGGAAGTAAGTCCTTCCGAAACTTCGATGTACATCTACCTAACTACAAGACGTGTCATTCAATAAGAGTGTATTCTTCATAGTCACCGTTGTAGGAATATGAAATCCAAAATTATAATAGTAATAATAATAAACCATCAGATTAGCAACAACTAGAAGCTGCAACAGCAGAGAAATTTAGCCATAAATTGTAACAAATTTTTACGCTTTATGAGACCGGAAATGTATTAGATAATGAAGTCTGAAATTTTGTGTAACCATTAAATTTTGTGGACAGCCATAAGGGTGGTCGAAGAGCTGAAGCATATAGGATGTCACAAATCATTCATTGATTAAATATGCATGTTGTACTCTTATCACGTGGTATATTATTGGAATGAATGTACGAAGGACGCTACGGTGACAGCGGCTGTCAAACTGTAAAATTTTTGTATGCTTTCTGTTACATTCAAAGTATGTAAAGGGAACAGCTGGACGTCCAGCAGTCGTCAAAATACGGCGCAGGGTTAAGACAAATAATGTAACTGAAAAGAAAGCAATGGATAGGCAGGTCTGAGTAGGCCCTGGGAGTGCGGGATCGATTACTACTCAGGACATGGATTATGCGTGCGTTTCTCTGTATCGCGTGTTGTCTTAGGAGGGACCGATCCTGTGTCAAGGAGTCCGAATATACTGGCTGGATTAAGCAGGATACTGTTAAATAAAGGATTTTATACAGGTTTTAATGAGTTTGTATTTCACGATAGACAATTCTAATCAGTTGAACCAAATATGACTTCTCGCAAGTTAATTAATTTCACTTTATTTCATGGTACGAAATTTGTCTGCAAAACAATGACACTGATATTTGAACAAAAGATATAAAATTATGCTTTACACTCCGAAGTTCCAGTAGAAAACATGTGGCGTCATTATCAACATCAGATTTATATCCCATAATGGCTGCTATTTATAATGAGTATGTTCAAGTTGGCATTATGCAGAATTCATAATGAAATCTGATGTAAAAAGCACATAACATAACGGGAGAGGTCATAACAAGAATTTGTCTGTTTTACTAGGCTTGTGACAACTGATATATTAGGCCAATCACATAGAAAAATTCCTTGAATTTTTCCCCAAACAGAACTAACTAGACTAAGACTCGCATTTTCACATCTTGCCTCTTCCTGTACCAGACAGAGTCAAACTCTTTAATTTCATGATACTTTATACTCCCATCTGGTGTCTAATGTTCTCATCATGACTTCCGCAAAATTGTGAGCTTGAAACAACGATATTGCAGGCCCAAAACCCCTTACGACGACATGCAACATGAACAGCTGAATAGTGGTGAAGAGAGTAAGAGGAATTTATTGTTATTAAAGCCGAAAAGTACTCCCTGTGGAGTACTCATACTATCCAAGCTCGTCTTTTGGGGTACGGGTGGCTTAAGGCTTAGCATTTCATTTCAGCAACTTGGTGCATCGATGTATCACTTAGGTACTTACTTTCGTCTTTAATGCAAATTTCTTTGCAATAACAATAAAGTGGCATACACTCGACTAGAGCCACTGCTTGGGAACATAAAGGTAACATAACAACATACAAATATCCGTAGAGTTAAACAAAACATCACGAAAAGCACACGGAAATCGCATGAAGAAAATAGAGCAAGAAAATATAAAAGAGTGATGTTCACAAGCAAATATATTTCAGTGAGAACTAAGAAATTTCATTAACGCTGGAATATTTAAACTTAAGAATTTCTTATATAATTTCGGCAAACGAACAGTTGCCCGAGGACGGGCCAAGTAAGGAAGCAACATGTAACAATTTAATTGTAATTTTAATATTATTTTAAATTAAGGAGAAATTGTAAACATAGTTGCCTTAAAGATGGAAGTGTATAAAGTCAAGATATGTCGTTATGTTTGACGTTCATTTATTGTAGATACATCGATAAAGTATCAAATTCAACCGGACTCTTCGAAAGCTGATTATACTCCAGTCATTCCACTTCCTGGAGCAGGAATATTTTGTCCTTTATACTTTGCTAGAATCATCTCAAATAAGAAATAGAGAAGCCACTGAGATGCTGTATCATACCATGCTGCAATTTTTGTACTGTGGGCCGTGTTTTAGAGAGAATTTAAGAAGTGGAAGCAATGTGCTTTGGTCGATAAGAAGTAAAATAAAATTGTTCCAACCGGTTTCGTATTAACATGAATTAAACAAATCCGTTCGCTTTGGAGAACAAACATACCGATAGGGAAAGAGACGGAAAGACTCTAGTTTCCCAGTGTAGTTCATTTTATTCACTGGGCGTAAATAATGGTTTAGTATGTAAATGGCGTCTGTGTTACCTGTGCGTATCTGTGTAACAAAGTGAGCCTTTGGGTTCTATAAAAGAGAAGAGAATTTCTTTAATAGCTGAGCGAATGTTAGCTTCTCGAGGATTGGTTACTTCATTTGTAATAGAATTCAGTTCTCTTTAAACTATTTTACAAAATACCTCCCCACAACAAGATTAAATGAAAAACTCTTCTGATATTTAAATGAACAATCGAGCTGTCCATGAAGAAGCATTTTCCCAGAGGACGAACTCCAAAATTTGTTTGACCTTAAACCCCAGTTACTAACTCATAACCATACTTCTCTTATACGCTATATAAATTCAAGGCAAGGGATTGCTAGTGAAACACTGGCTGCAATAAGGGGATAATATTAAAATGGGTATAGCGCAAGTAGGGCGAAGGAATGAATTGTTTGGAAATTATTTTTTAAATAGATGGAAACAGGAAATCTATTAACTGGATGGATAACTACCAACTTAAAAAATTATTGCTTTATATTTTATAAGTTTCAAATGCGCTGTCGAAAATATTACAGTTATATAAAGTAGGGGGTAGTGCCACGTAACAAAATGAGCCTCTGTACATTAAACAAAAGACAGAAATTAACACAGTAACAGAGAATTGTCCCGCTGAATCGTCACGATGGATGATTAGCTAGCTTACTCCATTTTGGGGAAGTGTTGAGTTGAATTATCTTCCCAGGGGTCGTATTCTGTTTCCTTCATGATCTTGCACAGCCCTCGATCTATCCTTCCATCCATCCGGGACCTTGGTCGCTACTGTGAAAACTCTGTTCAAAGTAAGACCCGAACACAGTAAATATCTGAGGAGTAAGAGCGAGTTGAATCCATTGTCTTTGCATGAATGCCTGACTCCATCCACCTACCGTCTGGCTGAGGCTAATCTGTTAGGAATCTGCCACCGCAGAGCACAGTGTTGGAGATACTGAGAGCCATCTTCATTCTCTCACCTTCGGATGTAAAATTGGCAGTCTCTTACAATGGTTATGGTTACCGCTCCATATATAGCACTAGATCGATTTGGTTAACTAATTAGTCAATATGTGTTAAGAAGATTCGTTCGAGTGTTCCTTGAACCAAAAGATGGCGCGCACACGGCACCAATTATAGAGTGGGTAGCACCTGCCTGCCATCTGTCGGTTAGTATGATCAATTCACTTCAATCATTTCAAATAGACTGAAGTGTTTAACGGCGCATATCAGCATTGGAGTACCACGAACGACCACGAATATTTGAATGGTTACATTAAGTATCAGCTGTGTATGCTGTACTCTCCGGAATTAGGCAACTGCATAAATTAGGTTAAATCGGAAACCAATACTGATACACGTATCCAACGGCGAGATTCACTGATACAAAATTTCACATCCAGTTTACCTGTTTGAAGCTTGAAAGTAATCTAAACCCTTCAATAGATATAAAGAAATTTTGTAAACGGAAGTTGTATCGTCTTCATTACGCAACTTCCGGTTACCACAGCAACCAACTGTTGAGCATTAACACGTTGCACGAATGCAAGTTATGTAGTAGGTCACAGATGAGCGAGTAGTATTTGTTTCACTCTGTCATAGCTGGTGTACGATTATTGATAATATTTTGATATGGGTGTGTGAATTATTGCATGCTTGATAAAGGAGGGGATTACGATTAATATTTTGTATATGTTAGCGTAGTTGGTTGAGGCACTATGCTACAAACCGGAAGGTCGCGGTTTCAAGTCCCGATGAGATCATTGGATTTTTTTTTCAGTTGACGTAATCCTTCCAGCCACACTATGGCCCTGTGGTCGACTCAGCCTCTAACAGAAATGAGTACCAGGAATATACTTGGGGGTAAAGAGCGGCCGGCGCGTAGGACTGACAAACTTGCCGCCATCTATGAGTCGACTGTTTAGAACAGGCATGTCAAACTCAACTTGTACAGAGGGCCACCTCAGCCCTATAAATAATAGTACAGGGCCGCACTTCAAAATAGAAATATACATTAGATTTTGATACAAGGAAATTTAATTCTATTTATTATTTAGGAATAATTTCAATATAATTACCTAAAGTGTAACACTTATATTTTGCAAATTACAAATCAAACATGTAATTTTACCTTCTATTTCACAACAGAAATAAGCTATTTCCCATTTTTCTTGAAAAACACGGCGCTCACTTTCAATATTTCTTTTTTTGCTACTTGAATTTTTTGAAAGCGACATTGTCCTTTAAAAGTTACTGTACATATACAAGAAAACTCGTAGTCAATAATTTAATGTTTAATTATAACCTTTATACGTTCATCATAATGTAACATCAGCACCTGTCGCTGTG